ATCGTATTACAAACAACTTTCATTTAATTATCCATTGGCCTCAAGCATGAATTGGTTGGAAAAACAACAACAACTACTACTAGGTAAATACATTATAGAGGTAAAATCTCCCGCACCTTCAATCTGCAATTATAGATAAAGCATCTGTCACCAGTTCTTTCTGAAAGGTTCTTCTATCTTTTGCACGGAGCTAAAGCTTGCAACGTGCTATGCCATATGCAAAAAAGGGTAAATATATATATATTTCACTGTGCCAATTTATTTAACTGCACAGAGTGAGATTAGGGAGATAGTAACAAATGGTCAGGAGAAGACAGTACAGTAGAACTCTTTTCATTCAAACCAGCCCTTCTCATTCATTGTGCAGAACTTGGTGGTCAGTACCTCTGTGCATGTTTTCTGTGTAGCTCTGAACTTTATGGTATGCACTTCACCAGCTAAAGGATATATGTAGATCTACTCCAAGTGGTTTGTGGTCCAGATGGATACCTAGAGTACATAAATTAGATTGTTGAAAATAATGGCTTTATCTAGGCAAAGCCTTATGCATTCGCTTTATTTATAATTCTGTTGGGTGCTCTCTTGTGAAATATGTTCCGCAGTCGCTCGCCAAAGATTCATGCAGCATGAGGTGCCAAAATGTGACAGGCAAACTGCATCGTGACACAAACACAGCTAGAGTGCCAACTCCATTACTAGACTGCCAGACCATGGCTAGATTGCCAGTAATACAGTTATAGAACAGGCTGTCGTTCTCCTGAACCCCTCCAGGGCTTCTAGAGAGATTGCCCCAGGCCTTGTTTTTTGTTCAGGTTTTTTTTTAAATGCATTGACATCTAGGCAAATCACTTTGCAGGATATGGGGTAAGTACTGGTATGCAGTATAAAAGAGAGACATCTTCTGTTTATGCACACATATATTATTGATACTGGATGGGCACCATTCATCAAGAGCATTTTCCTGGTCAGGTTTTATTGAAAGTGCACAACAAGGTTCAGCAGTGAATCTGAAAAGAGTAAAAGGAGAAGTGGGTAGCGGAGACATCAAGAGAACAGGGGGTGAGGGGGGGAGTTGTTGTTCAAGCTGTATTTGTTGTTGTTGTTTAGTCGTTTAGTCTTGTCTGACTCTTCGTGACCCCATGGACCAGAGCACTCCAGGCACTCCTGTCTTCCATTGCCTCCCGCAGTTTGGTCAAACTCAGTCTGGTAGCTTCAAGAACAGTATCCAACCATCTCGTCCTCTGTCGTCCCCTTCTTCTTGTGCCCTCCATCTTTCCCAACATCAGGGTCTTTTCCAGGGAGTCTTCTCTTCTCATGAGGTGGCCAAAGTATTGGAGCCTCAGCTTCACGATCTGTCCTTCCAGTGAGCACTCAGCGGTAGTCTCGTAATCTGGGGAACCGGGTTCGCGTCTCCGCTCCTCCACATGCAGCTGCTGGGTGACCTTGGGCCAGTCACGCTTCTCTGAAGTCTCTCAGCCCCACTCACCTCACAGAGTATTTGTTGTGGGGGAGGAAGGGAAAGGAGAATGTTAGCCGCTTTGAGACTCCTGAAGGGGAGTGAAAGGCGGGATATCAAATCCAAACTCTTCTTCTTCTTCCCAGGGCTGATTTCCTTAAGAATGGATAGGTTTGATCTTCTTGCAGTCCATGGGACTCTCAAGAGTCTCCTCCAGCGCCATAATTCAAAAGCATCAATTCTTTGGCGATCAGCCTTCTTTATGGTCCAGCTCTACTGGGAAAACCATAGCATTAACTATACAGACCTTTGTTGGCAAGATGATGTCTGTGCTTTTTAAGATGCTGTCTAGGTTTGTCATTGCAGGCGTCTTTTAATTTCGTGGCTGCTGTCACCATCTGCAGTGATCATGGAGCCCAAGAAAGTAAAATCTCCCACTGCCTCCATTTCTTCCCCTCCTATTTGCCAGGAGGTGATGGGACCAGAGGCCATGATCTTCGTTTTCTTGATGTTGAGCTTCAGTAGATATTAGGAAAGTAGGGTAAAGATCATTGACTCGTTGGGGAGACTTCCTCTTTCACCAGGTTTACTTGCAAGGTCACCTTACCCCATAGAAGCCCACTTCATTGCTTTGATATCAGAAACTGGCACTGTTACAGTGTCACAAAATACTTGTTCCACATTTGTAAGAAACTGACATTTTAGTGCGGCAGCACCTACACTTGGAACTCCCTGCCTATTGATGGCTGACAGGTGCATTCACCTATTGAGACATGTTAACGTGTTTCCTTCCTTTTTCACTATTCTAGATTTTCATTATCTTTTGAATGTTTTACCTGTTTTCAATGGATAATTTTCAATCTTTTATTTTATATTTTTGCAAACCGCTTAGAGGTTTTCTTACAATCAAGCAGTATATAAATTTTGTTTCATAAAAAAGTACGTTTGACTAGGTGACCCTCGTGGTCCCTCGTCCAACTCTGTGATTCTGTAATTGTATGACTGTGATTTTATGCAGGTATCACACCACATAAGTACATAAAGTAAAGAAAGAACACAAGAATACCACGAGGCCATTAGCGAATTTTTGCAAGCACAAGGTATGGAGGCTGGTAGCATCCTAACACAAGGAAAGAAATGGTGAAGGTAAACGTGTGAGGGCACCATGAGCTCAAGTTGTGTTGCTTGTGAAGGAGGCTTAGAAGATCTGTCCAGTTAACAGGCTGCAGGACAACCTACCTGCTGCCCTGATGAAGCCTTGCCTTGGATTAACTGAAAAAGGTGCAAATCTCAGATCTACCTGAAGAGCAGAGGGCCAGCCCCCCGCTGTTTGCTGAAGGTGTGCTTTAGATTGCAGTGAGTCACCTTTGATTGGTAATTCTATCCCCTGTTGTGGTTGCAGCTTGGTGAGAACTGTTTTGAATTATGATTGTAGCCTGGTGGCAATTTGCTTTGCCTCGTGCTTAAGCAAAATTGAATTGTGCTCCCCCCATTTCCACTTTGTGGTCTGGATTTCTGTTCCTGCTTTACATGGCCTGTAGACAGGAGTCACACTGACCTAGGTCACTGCTTATATCCCCCATTTCTTCCAACAAACATATCTCATGCATAGTGCTCTATCAAACACTGCAAATTGACTTGTTCTGAACACACGGTTGGTGGTAAATAATTGCACAATCCCCAATCTTGCATTGTGCTTTCTCAGTTGCAGTGGCTCCCCCAGTCTGCTTCTCAACTCAATTTAAAGTACTGTTTTTGAACTTTAAAGCCACAGGTGGCTTGGGACGAAGTTACCTGGAAGATCACCTTAACCCATACATGCTTACCTTAGCCTAGGTGTTGTTGCCAAATAAACTGAAGCACCAAACTCACAGGGAGAGGACCTATCCACTAGGGGTACTGTTACGGTACAGTCTTCCTAAAAGTTCTGCCTGGTGGCATCTTTGTGATCTTTTCACTGCCAGATGAAGATCTCCTTGTTCATTTTAGATGATGACAGTCTGGGCCTTTTAGTTTAGTTTTGAAATCTGTGTTCTAATTGTGTTTTTGGTTTTTATTGTTTTATAAGTGTTGCATTTGTTTTATCAGTCAGCCAGTCAGCCCATGTTATGTTGTGGCTGTATACATGTAGTTAATGCAATGCCATACTAAAATGAACATGAAATTTCATTAACCAATACTATTTTGTACCAGATTAGTCTTGTCTCTCCAGCTTGCTCTTTCCTGTGCAGAAGCACCCTTAGATAAGAGACATCTGGAGTAATTTTAGTACAAAAACCTTGGTCAGAACTTGGAGATAAACTGAGCAGCATGGCAAGTGACTCTTGTTCATTACTATTTTAAAACAGTGCCAAAGTTGTCTCTTAGTTCCATCTCAGTTGGCATCAGTAATTTTGATATTATTCATTTATTTATTGTCAGGGAAGAGTTAGAAGTTTCCAGTTTCTCAGAGGGAGAAAGCATTCGCCAAGGGGGGAAGGAGAGCAGTGAATCTAACAGAAGAGAGCAAGAGGAACAACAGGGAGGGATCGGCTGTTCACAGGAAAGGCAAGGGTTAAGTTCTAGCTCAGATTCGGAGGAGGGGAGATACAGGCCAGCTCTAGCCAGGAGGTTAGAAAAAAGAGCTCGAAAGCGAAGGGAAGGGTGCCTTCGCCATTTTGAGAGTGGCTGGTCATGGAGAAGCAGAGCTCAGAAGGTATCTGAAATAAGTGACTCTGAGGAATAATAGTTAAGAACCGTTTATAAGATTGTTTTGTTAATACAATAAAAAGTTTTATAAAAGAACAAGAAGCGTTTGTGTGGTGATCTGAAAAGGACAACGACCAGTCCTGACATTTATTAAATTTATATTCCACTCTCCCTCCCAAAGAAGTCCAGAGCGGCAAAGAGCAAATGATAAAGCAATAAAAGCACCTCATTTTGTCCCTGCATGGTCTCACAGGCAATCTTTGAGTATTGCTTTTTGTCTGTTTTGTATAATAGTGAGTTTTGCAGCAGCAATTCCATAGTTGTATCAGCCCAGATTCCTGTTCCATGTCCTACAATTTTGCATCTCATTGACAGCTAACTGTTGGTGGTCACATTCTGGTTACCCAAGCAACCTCAGTGTTATGTTTCCTAAACAGCTAAGAGGTTCAGCTAAGAGGTTCAGAGTCTAAGAAGAGTCAGACGAAAAAGAAATGTGGGAGGGGACACAAAGAAGCACTTGCTATTATACTGCACGTACACACAAATATTATGACTGCATGCATTAAGACACCATACATTTAAACCCCCCCCCAAAAAAAAGAATCCTGGGAACTGTAGTTTAAGGGTGCTGGAACTGCAACTCTGGGGTATAAACTACAGTTCCCAGGATTCTCTGGGGGGAAATATGCTTTAAATGTATGGTGTGAATACAGCCTCCATGCCAAAAACTATACATCCAATCTTAGGTGGACATTGTAGCGAACCCAAAGGGTCAAAGCTTAATGGCACATATGTAGGAATGCATTTCACTTCACAGTATGATAATTGTGCTTTATTTTCATGCATGTTTGTACTGCTACCTGGACCAGAGGGCACTCATTTAATATTGCAAAGAATCAGATACACGACATAAAATGTAAAATAATTAAAATGAGAGAAGCACAGAGAAGACACAATATAACAGCAACGGCAAGTCAACCAGACACCATCCATTATAGTCAGGTACAGTGCCTCTGACTACAGGGGTGTGGCCTGCCAATTAAGCACTTCGTTTGTCCAGATATTTGTTTGCTTGTTTAATATGAAAGATTTGTACCCTGCATCCCAATGCATTCACATTGCCAGAGTAGCTTAAAACCAGAGTTATAAGAAGATGCCATTTTCTGTTCCACCCCTCAAAGCTACATTATTTGTCTCATTGTCTGCTGTGGCAAAATGACATAACTTGCCAATTTAATTCTGTACATTATACAAGTTCAATGCAAAAGAAATATGAGTGGGGACGGACCATACTCAGTTACATATTTTTTGGTGAACTGAAAGCAGCAACAGTGAACACCAGTCATATTCACTGATTTCCATGGGATGAACTTTAGCAATTTCCTTTCCCCTTTCCATTTCTTGCCGAAACTCTCTGACATCGCTACCTACAACAATTAAAATAGTGTGTTAGGATCCATTTCACTATTGTGTCTAGTGCTTCTGATGGACCTATCTTCCATGAGTCTAATGAGTCGAATTCCCCTATGAAGTCACATTTTAAAGCCGATATGGGGAACCTATGCCAATTAAGATGTTGCTGAACTACTGTTCCTCTCATCATTGACCATGTTAGCTGGGGATGATGCTCCTTTAAGGGACCAGGTAGGAATTTGCCCATTGGCACTGACACTGGCCTAGTGGTTTTGCCTACCTCATAGCAATTTGTCACAAAGCGTGTTCTCCTTCAGGGAGAGCACGTGTTGCGGTGGGGTCTACTGAGCCACCCCCTTTGTTGCTGGGTAAGTTCTCCAAGATGGCCAGGGGGCAGTGATTGGATTGCTGAGTTGCTGGGGGAAAAGTTATGTTGCAATTTTGGTGGGGGGGGGGGTAAAAGGTTTCAATACTCTGCACGCAGCCTTGTACTTTCTCTTTTGCTGCGTGCAACGGATCACCCGCCCACCCGCCCTAGAGTAAGGGGTTGTTGCATTGACCTTGCTATGCCTGTCATGGGGTCGTCTGCCATTGAGCAGGGGCCTGGTAGGAATTTTTCCACCTGACAAATTGGCTGGCTGGGTGGTTTTTGCCTACTGCGTAGCAAATCGTCACAACTTGTAAGGTTGTGGTTAGGCATTGGTTATAAATCTGGTGGAGGAGGGGTTAGGATAGGCTGGGCCTGCCCCTCCATGGTTGCTGCGGAAAGGGAATTCCATTAAAGGAATCCTGGGGCTTGCCATCTTTTCGTCCAATCCCTGGAATGGGACTAGGGCCGGCAAGCCTTCGGGGAGCAGGCGGGTGAGAATTGAGGGTCTGTGACTCAGCTCCATTTCTCCCCGACTTGCTTTCCCCCGCACTGTCTTTCGGTGGTGCCCGGAAGTCAGTTCTGTCCCCAGGCGGGGGGACAGATAGTCTTAACCAATGCCTAAACAACCACTCACGGTTTGTATTTTAATAAAGTTGTGGCCAAAATCATGCCAAAAATCTTAAACAAAAAATTACATGTCCGTTGTGAGTTATTTTGGGGGTGGATTGGGGACCTCGACACGCAACTGGTTGGGCATTGGGGCAATCCTTTGTTTTGGACGGAGAGGAGGTTGTAGTCCCTGCCTGCCCCTCCAAACGCTGGGGTGTCCCATTAAAGGGATCCGGGGGGAGTAGCCATTTCCGTGTGCCCAGGCGGGGCCAGGGCCGAAGGCACTCCCCCAGATGGCGGTCTTTGTGGGGTTCACCCTATTGGATGTAAGTCTTAGGAACCCCCACCTGGATTGACCATGTGTCACTTCCGGCAGACGGGCTGGAGGTTTTTAGATTGCCCCATGCCCAAGCCAGACCTCTTTCATCTGTATTCAATAAAGTTGTGGCCTGTTTTGACCCAAAACCAGTCTCTTTGGTCTCTTATTATTTGGGTTGGGGTATGGGAAATCCAATGCCAGGTCCTGCAAGATGGAGCCCAGCAACATCTGTGGGGGGGGGCACAGGTTGCCCATTCCCAGTTTGAGCCAGTGACCACCAACATATTTTCAGGCAGCAAATTCCTCCAAGTCAATTATGCATTGTGGAAAGAAGCACTTTCTTTTGCCTCTCTTGACTCAAGGCCAGCATGCAAGGGTCTCATATAATTACATAATTGTCAGAGTTCACTGTTTCAAAGGGTGATGCATCACAGGTATGACTTGCCGCCAAAGAGTAATAAAGCCTAGTTCTTGGCTGCATGGGCTTGTCCTGGGTTCAGAGCAAGAATACTGTCTGGCTTCACTCGTAGAAATGGTCTTCTGCATTCTTCAGATTGTAGTATACACCTGTTTGGTAATTTTGTGCTCTTGTGTTTTTAAAAAATTGTCGGCTGGCATCATTCCAGGCCTGTTCTCGAAAGTGATTAAAAACTCAGAAGGGGAAAGAAGATTTAGAGATATGTGACATGAGGTTGGGAAGTAGGTTGCACAAGATTCCTGAGTGCCTTGATGGAGCTTTAAAAGGTAAAGGTAAAGGGACCCCTGACAGTTAAGTCCACTCGCAGACGACTCTGGGGTTGCGGTGCTCATCTCGCTTTACAGGCCGAGGGAGCCGGCGTTTGTCCACAGACAGTTTTTCCAGGTCATGTGGCCAGCATGACTAAGCCGCTTCTGGCGAAACCAGAGCAGCGCACAGAAACGCCGTTTAACTTCCTGCTAGGTTGGCAGGAGCTGGGACCGAACAACGGGAGCTCACCCTGTCGCACGGATTCGAACCACTGACCTTCTGATCAGCAAGCCCAAGAGGCTCAGTGGTTTAAACAACAGCGCCACCCATGTTCCTGATGGAGCTTTAGGGGAAAGAATAACAACCCACTGATTCCTTCTTACAATCCAAAAAGTAATTTCAAGTCTAATACAGATGCAGACGAGGATAAAAATCTGCACTTAAAAGGCTTGTTGGGAAAGTAAGGTCTGTAATAAGCACAGAGAAAAAATTACAGAGAAAGGGCCTGTCTGATATTTTAAAAGGAGGGAGGGACACTTTTTTGTCTACTTTATTGCTAGGATAAACTCTAATGTTAGGTTGTATTGTGCTAATGAATGCCTGCGGAGATGTTGTAGTTTCACATTTTTAATTGTTTATTTTCTTGTTAATTGTTTACGGAAAATCCTTGATAAAACTAATTTAAAAACAAAACAGGAGGCAGATTCAAATGGTAGTAGGTGCTTGACAAAAAACACTATTGTTTTTGACAAGCCTACCCAAATATGGAAAATGTTGATGAATGTTTTTCGTTTATCATGGCTTTTTAAATGTTTTAAACATTGGCTTTTAACTGTCTTTACTGATAATTTTATTGTTTTATTATTTTTATAAACTGCTTTGAGGTCGTCGTCCCCCTCCCCACAATCATGCAATGTGTAAATTTTACAATTTGGATCCTGGAGTTGAAATTCTCAGTTACTTGTTGTATCCTGCGAGCTGTGAACCAGCTATCTCCAACTAGGTGTCTTTATTTTTCTCTACCTCCACTAATCTACTCTTCAGCTTTTGGGACTTTATGTCTCCCAGCCTTCCCCTAATACTGGATAGAGTGGAACAACCTCAACCAGCAATCTAACCCTGTTGAAGGCTGCCAATGGGTCTCAAATCCTCAGTGAGTTAGGGACTTCCCCTGCATGCAAAGACAGGCAGCCGGAGGATTGAGCAGACAGGACCAATAGTAGCCCAACCATCAAGCAGGCACAGTGGCTTCTGTCATGACAGAGTGCACACACTCCAGCAGTGGAACCCAGCACAGCCAGATTGAGGGACACCTCTTCCCGGTCCTTGTTAAGTTTAATTGTTTAATGTACATTAAAATGAAAGATAACTCTGTAATATGCCCGCATAGAGTACTATGAAGCATGGCATGCAACTTTCCACTGAAGCTAAAGAAGAGCTGAGAAGAGAGCCTGGGTATCCAGCTGTTTTTGGACTACAACTCCCATCATCCCTAGCTAGCTGGACCAGTGGTCGGGGATGATGGGAACTGTAGTCCAAAAACAGCTGGAGAGCCAAGCTGGGAAACCCTGGCACAAGTTAATCATTAGTGGAGCTCTATCATGGGACTGTGTCTTTGTGGCTCAGTAACGGGGTGTTTAAATCACATGCAAGATATAGTGATATAGGTCTATGCATATGCTAATCTGTAAGTTTTCATCTTGGATGGAGTAATCTTTGTTCTCAAGCTACTGGAAAGAATGGACATGGTAATCTATCTCCAGGAAAACAGCCTCAGGCTAATTGAGGCTGGAATGGAGAAGAGACAGAGCTTTGATTTTTAACTCAACATCATCCAATATATTTTACCAATGCTGGGGTCAGTATAAGATATTAAGCAACTATTTGAATGTAACTTTGTTTCAAATTGTTTTGGAGTGAAGTTATGTAGTGAAGCTTTTGAACCAAATTTTTGGACTGGATAATTTTTGTTTCAAATAAGAGTAATTTTTTATTCATCCAGTTTGCTTCCATATGCTCAATTTTAATAACGTCAATAGTTCTAACTCCTTCTAGGTGTGCAGATGAGGTGGGGGGAGCAGTTCTAGGATTCTTCCTTAGTATTTGGTTTCATTGTTCAGATATTTTTCCCCCATCCTTCATCAACATAGTTGTCTAAAGGGGGCTGGGTAACTTACAGCAAAGGAGATTTTAGCATACTCCAGTGTAGAGCTGATTGAACTGTTTGAACACAAGATAATGTACTATATGTAAGCTACACTTTATTATTTCTGGCACGACTTATAAAAATTCAGCTGTGTGTGAAGTTCAGTCCTCCCCCCTCCCTTTTAAAGACACTTATCAAAACTGTCTGCACTACATGAAAGCAAAACACATGTAAGGATTACAGTATTAGACAAAACGGGGACCGCAAAGCAACTCCTTGAGAGGAAAGATGTACATGACACCCTAAGTGCATACTCCAGCAATTTGTGCAAAAATAAAGAGTCATTAGAATTGTTTACATTAGAATGGAAACTTAAGAGATCAAAAACCTCTGTGTGCCTCATTTTATCATTATGCCGCCTTCTAAACCCAGAGGCCTTGTGTGCATGGTAATTTAGGCACCTTAAAAAAGCGACATTCTCCAGCCATTGCGCAAATCTCAGATCCTTTCTCTTCCTGGTAGCGGCTATCCAGAAATGAGAATCAGTCTCCCTGTAGCAGTTTAATGATTGGTTTCTTTGTTTCCCTCAATCTCATGGCTCACAAAGCCACCTGGTCAGTGTGGTTTGAGAAGGCGGAAGCCCAGGCTGACCATTCATTTTGGCTTAACCTCCTTGAATGATTCCCCCAGGGCCGTCTTTAGCAGATGCAGTGCCGGGGTGCAAATACCCACCCAGTGCCCCCAAATTACCTTGGATAGTGTTGGGGTGGCCATAGCTGCGCACTGCCAGCCATCCGGGGGGGGCGCAACTGTCCCCCATGCTGCTGCGGGAGAGCGATCCCCGCAGAGGCTTGGGAGAGGCGCAACTTCCCTCCCAAGCCTCCTCGGGAGAAGAGTGATCCCTGCAAAGGCTTGGGAGACTTGGGAGGGAAGCTGTGTGCCCGCCAGCCATATAGTTGGCAGGGCGCAGCTTCCATCCTAAGCCTCTGCGGGGATCGCTCTACTCCCGAGGAAGTTTGGGAGGGAAGCTGCATGCCCAACAGCCTTATGGTTGGCAATGCACAGCTGGCAGGCATGCAGGGAAAGGGGAGGCCGCTGGCAAAGCTGCGTGACTCCCCCATTTGCTGGGGTGTCCTTAGAGGCCAGCACCCTGGCGCTACACACCCCTAAGCCCTATGGGAAAGACGGCTCTGGATTCCCCTATATATAAAGCTTCCTGCACGTATGAAACAGGGAGAGCAGCCTAGCCTTGCTAGCTAGTTTTCTATGTGCAGTTAGTTTCTTGTTTGGAGAAGCATTCAGAGATGCAATTTGAAATGGTACAAATTAGGCAAGAGGCGCACAACTCGGTTCTGTTGCTTGTGCCACTTGGCTAAAAATTGTGCTCTTAGACTTAGACCAACAGTTGCTGATGAATAGAGGTATCGTGGTTCGCAGAACTGACCACCTGATCCCAATCCAGAAAGCTCTATGTACTGGATAAAAGGGTTCAGCCCACCAATCCAACACAAGCTGCTGGGAATCACAAGTGGACTTTGAATAGGCATCTGGTCAGCCACTGTGAAAACAGCCTTTGGTCTGAGCCAGGAAGAACAGAGTCAGGCCATTGGTCTATTTAGCTGACAGTATTTAGCTTTCCCAACCTTAGCTGCAAATGCCAGGGACTGAATCTGGGACCTTTGGCATGCAAAGGAAGATGCTCTGCCAGTGATTCATGACCTTATGATCTTAAGTTTGTGAGTGTGATTCCCAACCCAAAGAACGATACCTGCACAGAATTCTCTTGGATCATCACTGCAAGATCAGGGCGGCTTTGTTTTCTTCATTTGCTGATTATCCATCTCTGAAAAAATGGATGTTACTCATCCTCTCCAGATGGCTGAAGAGGAGTAGGTGGATGCATGAAGCATGTGTAGTCCTGGATTCTATTTTTCACTATTCTGGGCACCATAGCTTAGGCAACATGTTGGAAGAGGCAAACCCCAAATTTCAACCCTATATTTTCAAAACGCATCTTGGTAGCTCGAGGCTAAATTAAAGCTGGAATAGTAGTTTTGCAGTACTATTTGTCTACCACAAAAGGGGTAATTTGGCAACTTTCAGGGAATTAATTCTTACCATTCCTACGGGTAAGGAGTTCTCTTCCTCCACCCTTTAAAAAGCCAGCTTTGCTGCTGCTCAAAGCAGCTTCACAGCTGCATGAGCAGCGTTCCTTTTTTACATTGGAAATGCCACAAATGGGAACAGCACTCCATTGCAGTTCCAGTTCTGGTCTTACAAAAGTGTCTGCAGATCAGGTGTTGCAGCACCACTGAGTGAACCACTTGCTCCAACTTGTCTTTTGAGCCACTGCCTCTCCTAGGCCCTACCCCCTTTGGGAGAACAGCAATCTTTGAGGAGCCAACTCTCTGGCCTGTACGTGGGTGTTTCTTCTGTGCACTAGGAACAATTGCTCATGAAGGTTCTGGTTCCATGAGCCCTGGTGCTATGAGATCTGGTCCAACAGGCTCTGTTCACTAGCCTTTGGCTTAGTAGCCTCCTGGCCACCAGCCTCAGAATACGGGGACTGATCTGGCTCCTTAGTTGGTGATTCTAAAGCCTCTGACTTAGTGTCAGGGTCGCTGTTGGACCCATGACACAGGTGCATTGCAGGGAAGGTAGAGGGATGCCCTTATTAGCCATCTGGGCAGCCTTCTTATTTTCCTCAGCAATGCCCGGGGAACAATGCTATGCCATCATGTACTGTTTTGAAAGGAATAGGCTGTGAAGAAATAACAGTAAAATTGTGATGGCCTGGGAATCCGATTCAGAGGCTGAACCGGAGGAATCCCAGCCTGCACAGGAGTCCCCGCCTCCAGGGCCGGCTGAACTGGGGCAGGGCCTTGATGCTGAAGCGCCTGCACCTGTGCCAGATCCTCAGGAGCAGGCACCAGGTGAATCCACTCTGGCTCCGGAGGTGGTTGAGGACTCAGTGCCTACAGGTGAGTCTTCCCCTGGGTCCAGTAACCCTTCAGCCTCTCCTGAACTACAGAGGCTCAGGGCAGAGAGGCGAAGGGAACTGGTTTCTCCCAGGAGGAGTGCTCACCTTAAGGCCAGGAGAGGCGGGTCTCCTGGGGGCCAGGACCGCCCCTGGCCTCAGAGAAGATAAAGGCCAGTCAGCCCGGTCCCAGGTTGCGGGAGCAACGTCGTTGAAGAGCTGTTTCGGCCAGCATCCAGTCCTGTTTCCCCAGAGTTCCTGTCCTTGCCCGGCTTCTCGCTGTGGACCCCGCTTCGCCCAAGGAGGACTGTCTGCCGACCCTCAACTCAGGTCCTGGACCTCGCCCCACGGTAACCTCCCCCCTGGACCAGCACAAAAATGGTGTTTGTTTTAATTTTAAGGAGAGTGAGGGAGGGAGAAAAAAAGCAACCCCCCCCTCAGTCTCCCCTTCCCCAAATTGTAATACAGTGGTACCTCAGGTTACAGACGCTTCAGGTTACAGACTCTGCTAACCCAGAAATAGTACCTCGGGTTAAGAATTATGCCTCAGGATGAGAACAGAAATCGTGCTGCGGTGGCACGGCAGCAGCGGGAGGCCCCATTAGCTAAAGTGGTACTTCAGGTTAAGAACAGTTTCAGGTTAAGAACGGACCTCCAGAACGAATTAAGTTCTTAACCTGAGGTACCACTGTAAAGCACCCCCAGCTCTGAAGATTGTAATAATCATCAGGCATAGATGCCAACTCCCTGGGTGCCCGAGCACCCACAAAATTCCTCATGAAGGGGCCAGGCACCCACAAATTTCAGTGCCAGGGCTATGCACGCTGTATGGCACCCACGACCCCAGGCACCCACAGTCGTGGGGCCAAGTTGGCACTCCTGTCGACAGGGCCTGAATTAAGTAAGGCCAGCACCAGAGTGAATGTGCATAGTGAGCTGATTTTCTGAGCAACTACGAAGAATGTATACAACACATGTTCTCCGCATGGCTAATGTTGTGCAATTCCCTTCACCAATTGCCAGTGTCAGAAGCAGTGAATGACCTTGATGTTTGGCTTGCTTTGTTGTGCCTGAGGATAAACTGGCATAGGGATGGAATTATAATATTCGTCAGCTTCTGTTATCCTTAGTTCAGTATAGGGCAGGTGTTTTGTTTTTAATAATAATAATAATAATCACAACAGTTTGAAGTTAGGTCTGCCACAGCTAGCTCCAGGTTAGATTACTGAAATGCTCACCACATGGAACTGCATTTGAAGATGGCACATCCCCAGACCTCCTTCAGAGATGAGCCTACTGTAAAATATTTTATAGTTTATAAAACGCCTTCCAGAAAAAGGAAACGTGAACATTTAATGAAATGTAAGGGACTTCAATTGCACCAGTATGTCAATTCTTTTCAAAGCACATGAAGCTTAGACCCATTTATTTCATCAGAAAATCGAGTTCTTGGTTCTCCCATTGAAATCTCCTAAAGAGATTCCCATGAGAGATCCCCGCTGAGCTGATTTGCTCTGAGCTGCCATTTTTGCTGTGCCTGCTGCTGCTGCTGCGTTCCGCAACACATTTTGAAATCTCTTGCCCACAATCCTTGCAAACAAAGTCAAGCATGCTTTTTGCTCATCAGTCGGCACCTTAGAGGGTCAGCGTAAGTCTGATGTAAACCAGCATTTTTTAAGCGATGGCTAAATGAAACACATTCTTGTATGTTGTTTGCCAACTTTATTTTTTCTTTATGTGTGTAAAAATGGCAGGTTTTAATCGTACCCTCATGACAAATGTGTTACAGAAAGCCACACAACTGAGAGCCTGATGCAGAACATGACCAAAAAGGATTAATCAAAATTAGAGCTAGCCATATTGCCAAAATTAGAGGTAAATATATTGCTAAACATCCAATACAGTAATATGCTTACTGCAAGCTTTTTAAAAAAATAAAAACTCAGCATGCCTGGTATATCAATACCTTGCAGGGATTGTATATTAGACTGACATTTAAAAGAAATCCAAAAACTCTTCAACAGGCTTAAGAGGAACTGATTTATTCTCACAAAATGGAGTGGACTGAGATCTGAAGCCTGTAAGGCAATGTGGACTGATAGCTGGACTTGGGCCAAAAGGAGCGGGTTCAAATCTCTTATGTGAGGGCACAGCATGCCTGCAGGGAGGAAGATGGAAGTTCCATTGCACAAGCGGAAACTCTTGCGCTGACAGAACACATTAGTTGGATACTAATGCCCACTTTCTCTCAACCTAACCTAACTTAACATTTATGAGGCTAGAAGTGGGGTGGTGCTAGACTTTCTGAATGCTCTCCTAAGCTCCTTGGAGAAAGGGTGGAATAGAAATGCTATAAATAAGACAAATTTACTACATTGTCTTGGCAGTTGTCTTGATCCTCATGGATTCCAATCACGTACGTTCCTGCGGCTGCCCAGTTCCCCTCGCTCAATACCGGCAATGTTTTCTCGTTGTGGCCGCTTGCGGATAGTTTTTGCTGTCTCCACCCTTCCCCCCCCCCATCCCTATAGAGCATTGTGTACCAGACAAAATGCATTATTGGCCAAACTTCACAATTACCACAGCAGTTCGCTTGTCCTACATTGTGGGGAAACCAGAAAAGACTTTCATCATTATTTATGAATTATTTATGTCAGTCTTAAGGCTGGGATGTTGTTTGTTTTTCTGAGAGTGGTTTTTCTTCATCTTTTGTTCTATGGTGCTTATGCTACCGGTTTGGAATGGTTCTGAGGTAAATTATTGAAACACAATAATTATGGAAACACAATTATTGAAACACAAAAAGTCCCCCCACCCCCTTTCTCAGTCTGTATACGCACCATACATTTAAATCACACCCACCCAAAAGAATCCTGGGACCTGTAGTTTGCCAAGTGTGCTGAGAATTACAGCTCTGTGAGGGGAAAACTACGGTTTCCAGGCTTTGGGTGGGGCTTTAAATCTATAGTGTGTAGGCAGCCCCAGTTTGCCTTCTAATGGAGGTTTTTTGGGTAAGGTTACCAGACATCCCCATTTCCCGGGGACATCCCCAGATTTACAAATCAGCCCCCTGACAAAATCCATCTATTTAAGTAGGAAGTTGAAAAGTATCCCCGGATTCATTGGAGAAAAAATCTGGTAACCTTATTTTTGGTGGTCTTCGGCTGGAGTTGATGCAGTTGACCCATCTACTTCAGAACTGTTGACTTTGAATTGTACCAGCTGTGCAGGGTTTCCGACGGAGGACACCTGGCGATGCACCTCAACTGTGGAAGACTTGGAACTTTTCAGTGTTTTTTTAAAAAATAGAACTGACTCCTGGTTTGTGGAGGCGCTCAGCAGAATACAGTGGCACCTCGGGTTAAGAATTTAATTCGTTCTGGAGGTCCGTTCTTAACCTGAGGTACCACTTTAGCTAATGGGGCCTCCCGCTGCCACCATGCCACCACCGCATGATTTCTGTTCTCATCCTGAAGCAAAGTTCTTAACCCGAGGTACTATAACCTGACGTGTCTGTAACCTGAAGCATCTGTAATCCGAGGTACTACTGTACCCTTCCTTCTCTGGGAATTTAGCTACAATTTCTGTTTGCAGAGAAGACAGCCCAGGGTCCTTTGACCCTTTAATTAGTTCTCTTTTCCCCTCCTAGAAAAACTACGCAAGGCACTCTCTTTTAAAGTTTAAATAACATGTAACTTTTACTTAGCGCATTTGCACGTTAAAATATACAATGTGGGTAGGCGATACTTAAGTCGCTCAAACATCTTACACAGATTAAACTTTTACAGACAAACTTAACTCTCTGACTCTGAGGCAGACAGCAGCACAACAATTCATACCTGCTGCTCTAACTGTTAAAACTGTTGAACTAACTGCCACAACTGCCACAGAGTGAATGGCATCTTGGGGTTTTACAGCTCTTGCAACTAACCCTTTACATATGCATTTTGGATGCTAACACCCCACACCTGAGATTCTTGGACAGCTGAGCAGCAGTCTCTCTCTCTCTCTCCCCATTCACACAAATAAAAAGCAGCAAAACCCCTGAGAGGTAGCCACCTGACGACTGCCATTTTGTTTCCCCCACAGCACACCTGACTGACACTGTGCCTGTGCCAGGCCTGGTCCTTAGTGCTTAAAAAACATATTTCAAGTGGTAAAAAATAAAGCTTCACATAATTATATCTGAAATCCTTGCAACAGGCTCATGAGGACCAATTTTATTACCCCTCCATTGCAGGTAGAAGGCTGAGGCTGAAAGAATAATGGGGTGTTTCGGGCCGCCAAGCAAATTTGCTGCTGAGATTTAAACGCATTGTTTTCCAGCTTACACTTTCCAGCTTGCACTAAACCTCACCAGCTCATAAAGACAGGGTCCGTTTCATTCTGTATGTGTGGGTAAAATTTGGTTCATCAGTGATACGGGCAAGAAAACACTTGCAAGTCCTAATAACCTCAAACCCATTTAAATGGGTGTGAGGTTTTGAAAGAGGTGAATGGCTTGCCCTACGGTGCTGGCCCTACCATTAGGCAGCGTGAGGTGATGGAGGGGGAAAGCTGTGCGCACCCCCTGCACCCCCAAGCTAGCTTGCTGCTGTTTGATTTAGTGAAGGCTGCTGTCCTGTCAGCAGTGTTGAAGTAAATTGAACTGCTGGTCCAGTGAGCTTTTGTATATTGAACGGAGGAGGCTGCCACCTGTGCCTCAGGCAGCAAAATGTCTTGGGCTGGCTGAAGTTACAGCTGGAAACCCATGCAGTTCACTCTCATGTTGTGAGGCTTTAAATCGTCCTGGGCTGGCAGCTTCCAGCCTAGAGCTTGTGGCAAAATGACAGAAACCACCCCTGCCTCTGAACCCCTAGTGACCTTGAACTTGGTTCCTTTTAAAATGCAACCTCAGGGTAGCCAACAACATTCCCCTCCTCCTTAATAATAAGTAGTGAAAACTGAATGGCACTAAGAATATGTCTGCTTGTATGTATGATCGTTGCTAGGTAAATGTACAATACAAGTCATGGATGCCTGCACACTCTCACTGGAAGTTAGCAATTCATTATTTCTGTGCATAAACACCATTATAATGTACAAGAACACCATAAATCTCTCCCTTTCCCTCTCTCTCTCTCTATCTCTGACCAGGACATATAAGTGTCAAAGTTCTGCACCAGGTGACCTGTTTATTCATCCTGATTTGCTTGCTCCAAAGTTTATGAGAAGGTTAGACAATGTCCGGTCTTTATTTGTTGTCATTTGTTTGCAGTGAGGTTATACAACGCTGAGGATTCATCCTGATTTGCTTACAGCAATTTTATATGCCTTCCCCCTTAATCATTTGATCTTCCCACTCTTTTCAATGTATTCCCGAACTGCAAAAAGTCTATTTTTTAAAGCGGCTTTGTTGCAACATAGCACTTTAATCATGCAAACCTACATTTCTGGTATGTGCTTAAATTTCTTCTGCAAAATGCCAACAGTCTGGAGGCAGCCTAAATGAATATCTAAGTCAGTGGTTCCCAAAAACCTACCCGCTTGCATGGATCACTTGAAAATTGCTAATGGGCTTTGCAGACTACCTAATGATTATTCTGCCTGTGTTGCATGCTGTTTGATTTGTAGTTGTCCTTTTTTGGCTTATTTTATTTCTTACATTGTGTTTTATTGTATTATAATTTGCACCTCATAGATTTCATATTGTAACACAATAGAATATGATTTAAGAAAGAAAAGATGCAATAAAATAAAATAAAATATCAACATGAATATTCAGGCATGCTGCAGACCACCTGAATGAAACTTGTGGTTCACTGGTGGTATCCTGATCTTCAGGGACTTTCTTGAAGATCTTAGGAACTCCTGATCTTCAGGGACTTTTGATCTGCATGTGCATAGAATGGGCACCTAGCTCTCATTTGGCATAGTTAAACGTGTGAGAGTTCAGCCTATTGTGCACAGAAATGTGAGTCTGAACATATGGAAGTCAGAGGTAAAGGTAGCAAACCAATTTAGTGCTTATGTGGGTCTTCTAAATAGTTTGAGATGCAAATTAAATAGTATGCCCCTAGACATTATGAATATGATGCTACTTCTAAAAGCATTCTCAGCCTACCAGTACATTACTCTGTACTCTTAGGATAATCAGGAATGTCAATGCAAGCCCACTGTGGCTGGTGTTCTGACATAGGTCTTCCGAAAACAAGGGGTGGTGAATAGTGTCTTGATCTCTCCCTCCCACCTCCGCCCATCTTTCCTTGGCTTGATGTGCCTCTTGTACTTAAGAACCGACTGAAGAGAACAAAGAGAAAAGTAGAGAAAACCCAAACCTGTGGTGCCCCTTGAGTTTTCATTGAGGATGAGTGAAGCAGAGCTATCTCATGTTTACATGTTTTCAAGCACTGTATACACTCAAGTTGTTTCAAGCTACTGCTACCTGTTGTTATTTGCCGTGTGGCAGTGCGGAATAGCCCTATAATAAATATTTTTTTTAATGTACATGTAGCTTCAACATTTATGATAACATATTTAGTTCTTTGACTGTATGATTCAAAAGTACCTAGATGGAGATAGGGTTACAAGTTTGCTGCATTTATTGCATGAAGGAACTGATCCATAAATATATCAACAGTGTTTCCCAGTTGTTGTATGAAAGATCTTGATGGATAATTTTTTCCCCTTTTATAACAAATTTATTTTCTTTGATGAGATGAGATATTACACTCCATTTTAACTTGGATTTTATGATATACTAACAGGGCAAGGGGTTAGAAACCCCCACTGTGTAAACTATTAACAGCTGTTCATTTTTTTACTTGTCTACAGGTTTCAAACAAATAAGGCCAAGAAGGCAAGCTATGGTTAAACGTAGAATACTTTGCAAAATGAAGCAAGGCCACTTTAGCATTGGACCTCATTAGAGGGGTCATCGTGTTCATTGCTTATGTAGGCCAAACTCATGACTTATGAATAGTCATGCAATTGTTTCATGAATATTCAGCAACAGCGATAATAAACTAGAGCAAACTAGTACGGTTCATCTTAAAACAGATACGGGTATGGGAAACAGTACAACAAACCCATCATTGCCTGTGGTGTTCACGTTCATTTCTTTTGCCCCATCATGGCTGCTGGTCAAATAGCTTTTGCAGGTTTAAGAAGCATTACAAAAGCCTACCTAACCTGTTTGATCAGATATGATAGCGGGGGCAAAGTAAATTAATGGATACATCACTAACAATGAACATACTCTCTTCAGCTCTCTGAAATACTATTTTGCTCTCCCAGTTTAATTTACTGCTCTTCCTCAAAGTTCAGCTTTGCTTCCCACACAACTTGTTCCTTACTAACTGCTATGAAAACTTGTTTCGCTCCCCCTCTTTCTCTTTCACATTGACTTCAGAATAAATTTTCATGCAATAGCAGGAGCTTTCCCCTGGTCAACCTGGAAACACCAGGGATTGAACCAGAGACTGAGTACAAAACAAATGTTCTGCCACTGAAGTCTACAGGTCTGTTGGCCTGTCCTTTTGAAAGTATGCAGAAGGCTGCTGTACTGGGTAGAAAAAAATACCTCCTTTGCCAGCACGGCATGATCTATCCTTTCATAGCCAGCTTGCCCTGATGTGTTGGCTTGCGATAGTAGCATAGAAAGAAACTGTGCGTTCTTATCGAATTTGTACACCAAGCCGATACATGTAAGACATCCCTATGAAGACAATTTTAAGTGACCTCAAGTGGCAGCTGTATCTTGCGCAGCACCATTTGACTACAGTGCCTGCGTGTGGAGAGTGAATGACTCTAATGCCATATCTACACTACACTACACTACACTACACTACACTACACTACACTACACTATAGTGGTAGTACTTCAGTTTGATTGCTGTGGCCTTTATTTCTCTCCCACAAAGAAATTGGGCTATTGTAGTTTGGTGAAAGGGACGCGGGTGGTGCTGTGGGTTAAACCACAGAGCCTAGGGCTTGCCGATCAGAAGGTCGGCGGCTACGGGGTGAGCTCCCGTTACTCAGTCCCAGCTCCTGCCAACCTAGCAGTTCGAAAGCACGCCAAAGTGCAAGTAGATAAATAGGTACCGCTCCGGCGGGAAGGTAAATGGCGTTTCCGTGTGCTGTTCTGGTTCGCCAGAAGCAGCTTAGTCATGCTGGCCACATGACCCGGAAGCTGTACGTTGGCTCCCTCGGCCAATAAAGTGAGATGAGGGCCGCAACCCCAGAGTCGGCCACGACTGGACGTAATGGTCAGGGGTCCCTTTATCTTAGTTTGGTGAAGGTGCTGGGTCTATTAGAGATCATTATCCCCCTCCTCACAGACCTGCAGTTCCCAAGATTCCATGTGGAGGAGCAATAATATCAAGCCAGCTTAAGATATGCCCTTTGAGACTATGAAAATGTAGTGTTTAGCCAATTAGCCTAATAAAACACTCGGGCTTTAGCCATTTCATTGATGCAATGTCCGTTTACTCTGTATGTTTTTGTGTTGGTGATGTATACCATATTTGTTTTAGCTTAATAATATACCAGATTTTGTCTCCCAAAATGTATTTCTTTGGCTGGCAGTTTTCCAGCTTCTTTCCTTTCCATTTATTTAGCATAATAAGTTTTGAAATTATTAAACTCACACGATAAGGTAGCTAGATTCATATAGCACGCTGAAATGCAGAAACCTTGATAGAATCCCACATTTAAAATCATGTTTCCTAGGAAACGACTTTTTGTAAGTAACTATTTCCAAATTCCTTTATGCATATGAGTTGCTCCCTACCCTCAGTGGCTCACTCACATTGATTGCTCACATGTTTGATATGCCAACTAGCTGCTTTCTTGCACAACACAAAACAAGTATGTCTATTTTAAATCAGAAATGTTGGTGGCTACATCAGTTAGTTAGTTAGTTCATTAAATTTGTCAGTCACTTTACCTTGCCCAGGGCAACACAAAGCAACTTGCAACCCAACAAACAGACAATAAACCCCACGTAAATACATTGAAAGCAAGAGGAAAGAGAAATACAGTAAAAGCATCCCACCGGTCAGATCACAGTGAAACATGGAATGTTCAGGATACTGGTGTAAACTGTAGGTGGTAGTTACGGGTACAAGGTGTGTGGGGGTCAATTTAAAAACCATTGCACAAGACTTTCAGAGTTAGGAATAGTTTTCACTTCTTTTGCTCCAATTCACAAGAGAGAATCTTCTTAATAATGCATTTCAGAATTATAAAAAAAATCTACCACCCTCCGACATTTCCAATTCTCCTGCCACCCGACAGGACAAAAAGTCTGCATTTTAGTGAGGATGCTGTGCTTGATGCGGTGCAGTAAAAGGTTGAAGGTAAATCTCCCAACAGTGTACTCTTAGCATCAAGCCAGCCCATTGTTCACAGCCACCTAGCAAATCTGTGTGATCTGAAATAAAAGTGAATGCTATGAAGAGCACTGCAGGGCACGGATGTCCAGATTCATAGCCCAAGCTTCCTTTTCCGCTGCAGAGTAATTCTGCTGCCAGGGAAAGAATTTTTGACTAAAAATAGAAAGAAGTGAAGGATTCTCTGTTGTTCTGAGATGGCACCACCTCTGTATAGAGGTTGGCACCAGCCATATCCAACCCCTTGCAAGGCCAGGATCTTTACACCAAACAAGTGTGTGGTAGGAGAGGCAAGGGAGGAATGTTTGGCTTGAATGCGGTGAAGCCTTGAACAATTGTCCAAACTGTTGTGAGAAGTTGTAGCCCTTCAATTATGTAATATAATTTATTTGGAGAGAGTCTCCCCCATGTCTCCCTCTTGCTTGCTTGCTTGCTTGCTTGCTTGCTTACACACACACACACACACAGAGAGAGAGAGAGAGAGAGAGAGAGAGAGAGAGAGAGCGCTCTCCGTATCACCATAGTTTCCTTGCTAGAAATGCCAAGTTTCGGTGTGATTTTTTCAATATATATATATATATATATATATAGTCTGCAGAAGAAACAAATTACTATGCACTACAAAACAGAACTGGCATTTCAAATTTAAAACAGATGACATCAGCATTACACATGGAACCAGACACCATCAAATCATATGCCACCTCATAAATATTCAAGCTGGTGGGGCAAAAGAAATGTAAAGTGCATGGCTGGCCAACAGGGCTCTCCAGGGACTGGGAGCAGGGCGGAGGGAGATTCCTTTCTTGGAGGCTTTTAAATAATGCATGTATGCAGTCCGTTCTGAGTAGCCTATAGGGAGGCAACTCAGCAGCGTCTGCAGATTTCTTTCGGGGTCTGCATTACACTGTGGTTTATGAGAATGGAGCAAATGAAACCTAGCAATGGTTCTTAGCATAGGATAGAAATGACCATTTGACACAGGGATGGGGGAAACTGTTGGATATTGTTGGTCTCCTGCTCCCATCAGGCCCAGGGCAGCCTGTCCAAAGATCAGGGAAGATGGGAGCTGGAGTTCAGCATCATTTGGAGAGCCACGGTTTTCCCGTTCCTTATTTCGTGGAGTCCATAAAGCAATGTGTGAAAACATGAGGAAAGGCCTAATAGTGGCATAGGCACCCCCAGGCACCATTTTTATTGCACATTTGCGATGATTTGTTCTCATGATGCTTTCGGAGTGGTCACATGTGACCCAGTTTTCAATACAGTTTGTGCCTTCAAATTTTTTGGGGTGGTCAAATTGCTTCATTTCCAATCAGTGCATATCCCATAGCAGGGGTCAGCAACCTTTTTCAGCCATGGGCCGGTCCACTGTCCCTCAGACCATGTGGTGGGCCGGACTATATTTTGAAAAAAAAAAAATGAACGAATTCCTATGCCCCACAAATAACCCAGAGATGCATTTTAAATAAAAGGACACATTCTATTCATGTAAAAACACACTGATTCCCGGACCGTCCGCGGGCCAGACTGAGAAGGCGATTGGGCCTCATCTGGCCCCTGGGCCTTAGTTTGCCTACCCCTGCCCTATAGCACTCTGCTGAAATCCTGTAACTTTCCAAACCACAAATGCTCTGGTTTATTTTTGAAATACTTTCTGTGGTGGGAAAACAGGGACCTTCAGTCCTTGCGACTGCTTCATTGGGGCAAGACCTGCTGCTGTGACCACTAGGACTGAGCTGTTTTGTTTCCTTGAGTAATGAGTTGACGACACTAACATAAGGTATTTTACTTCTGACCTTTGCCTGACTCCACCTCTGGACAGCAGGTCAGCTCCATGCTTCTCCCCCACCACACTGGTCATTACAGGATTTGCTGTGAACCCTGAGAATGTCAAATCAGAAGTAAGTCTGACTGAATTCAGCAGGACTTACTCCAAGATTTCAGCCTTACATATAAATAATAAGCACTACCCCAATGCACAGCCTCTTAAATAGATCTCCCATCTAGCGGCTGATTAATGTCAACCGTGACAGGACAGGATTTGGTCCCTGACAATTCACTGGGGCCTCCTAGCGACATTCTAGTCTAGACTGCAGGGCAATGTCTGAGGGTGCTGAAGTCCAGGAAACAATTTGGGAAAGGCAACTGAATAGCAGAGAAACAGGGTGCAGGAACAAAGGTATTTCTGAAATAATACCACTTAGAAGTAGAAGGGAAATTCCTGTGCGTGATGTGGATATAAATCTAAAGTTTGCGGTATCCAAACTAGATCACAGCATGCCTTTGGAAAGGGTCCATAGACGGGCAGCCGCTGTCAGAACCATCTGTTATTGCTGAATGCCTCATCATTCACAATACAACTGAGCATCCAAAGATGCTGAATCTTCAATTTCACTTTACATTCCCTGGAATTTTTCTAACCTTAGGTATCCCCTCTCTCTTTAATTTTGCTATGAGTTCATCAAATGTTTGCTCGGATTCTTGAAGGTAGGAAAGGAAATGAGCTCAGACAAGGCTCACAGCGGCATTACTTCGCCACGTGTTGCATGGGCAACAGGGAAAATGAACTCATTGCACAGAGAAGATATGCAGAACATTAAAAAGGAAAGATATGAAACGCTCTGTTTTGTTTTGCGCTCTGCAGAAAGCCTTTTCTGAACCTTTCCAAATCCTTCTATAATGAGACAGATATGTAACAATAATGAAAACACTGGGTTTTCGCACTCAATCCCCCAAATCCTAAAGGGTGGGCACTTTTGGCTGCTCACACTCAGGACATTGGTTGGGGAGGACAAGGCATTCCTGTGAGAGACTTTGTGGGTTTTAATGAGTATTTCCTTGGCTCCTTTTAAGATCTGTGGAAATCCTAGCCTGCCAGGAGCTAAGGGTGTTCAGGTGCCTTCATGGCTTAACCTGAGGTTCTGTCTGTGACTGTTCTCTACAAATTCAAGCTGTACAGACTCTCAAGCTCAAGTGTAATTGCAAAGGGGGAAAGAAAGATAGCAGCCTGATCTGTAGGGTTTCATGTGATCATGTGCACATGTTGTTAGACATTCCCTAATTCCCTAGGCAGAAAAAAATAATCTAGGGGCAGTGCTACTCAGTTTGCCATCCTTTTGCAGGATCTGTCTGCCAGATGGACAGGCATCTGACTGACACAGTTTCCAGTACCCTTTCAACAAAATTCTCCAGTATCCCTAGCTGCTGCTGAGATGATAGACTTCTTCAGATGGGAGAAGGAAACATCTATTTTCCAGTATATGATTACTGCAAAGCTCTCTGCTTTGCCATATAGTAGCTATCTGAAACCTTTTCCACCTAGCACCGCTAACTACAAAAAGAGATTTTTTAAAATAAAAGATGTTCACCCTAATTATATGCATGTATACTTGGAGGAATGTCCCAAGTAATAGGAATGCATAGGATGACAGCCTTTGTTTATCTTAAAACAAGAACACTATCCTATGCAGCGCATATTTCAGTTTTTCCAAATTTGGGTCGGTACCTGGCTCATGTTCCAATAATGTATTGGGTTTGGCTGTGTTTAAATCTATTTTTGCTCTGTCCTTTCTTTTTCTTTTCTTTCTTTCTTTTTTTTTTTTTTGCAACACAGGGTCTTCACTTCTGCTTTGTGCCAGTAGAGGATTTTTCAAAAAACAAACACAGCTCCTGGGAAGCCTCTGCAGATTCCTCCCAAAGTGCGTAATGGAAACAGGTGAAGTGTAAACAACACGCTCACCCACTTGTCTCGCTCCTCTTAGAATATTCCAACAATGTCTTTATTTAGTGACAGTTTGAGAGATGCTTACAAATAAGTAGCTAAAGATTTTCCTATGGCTGAGAGTTTTCAAATACATAAAATAAATAATCTGGGACCGGGGGGTGGGGGGTGGGGAGAAGTCTTAAGATTGTGATCAAAAATATTTGGGGCAAAAACAGCACTATGTACTGGAAATAGTTGGATTAAATTTAGTACATTCGTTTTTAAGAAATGGATACCTGACAAACCAGAAAAATCTAAAAATAGAACCATGATATTCAGCATTGAGATATTTAGGCATTTCCTTCAAATAAGATATAATAACCATATAATTTAGCTTCATGTGCATGTTGTGCTTCCAAATAATGTAGTTGCAGTGTTTCTAATCAACGCCCACCCATCTCATTATTTTCCTTTTACTATGCTTGCCATACGTCAGAAAAAATCCTGACATGACCTCGTTTGTGGGTGTAAAAATGGCATCCGGATGGATGGCTACGCGATGGAAAAAGCAGTGGAAATAGCTCAAGAAGCTTAAAATCACAGTTTTGGTGGGTTTTCTTTAAAAAAGCATGTTGCGGGTGTCAGGAATTTTATTCCACCTATTCACCAAAGTTGTTTCCAGCCCATGGGCCAAATGTGATTGCTTGGACTCTACCCAGGCCACACCCCATCCTTAGCCACACCCCCTACCAGCCCTGCTTTGCATTTTCTTTGCTAGTTTTTGCCTGGCTAAACTCTGGTAATGACTTTTGCTTGTTTGGATGGAGGGTAGAGAGACAATTGCTACTGGTTTTTTGTACCCCCAGTGAGGCCATGACTGACTCCAGTTATGAAGGCTGCTGCTGAAGATGCCAGAAACCATCTTGCTATAGATCCTGAACGATTTGGCCCCTGCCCTCTGTTTGGCTCCTTCCCACACAGCCTTGGAGGGTGGCACCCTGACTGACTCCAGCTGCAAAGGTTGCTTCTGCGGCTCAAGGTGAGAGGCCAGAGAGATTTGGTTTGGAGATGATTATTTTTGCTGCTAGCTGGACTATATTATTGGGTTTTCATTATTAGAATTTACTATAATCAGTGGGTTATTTAATTTTATGGTATTATTGTATCACTAATACTCGGGGCTTTTTTTCAGGGGGTATTCAAGGGCACCTTTTTTTGTTAAAAAGTGTGGCACTTACTGTAACAACTTCATGGTGAATACTGGCACCTATTTTTCTAGGGGAAAAACACTGCTACTACTACCACTGCTACTACTATTAATTACCCACCCTTCACCCTAAGGTCCCATGAATGTGAGACATTCTTTTAGGGAATTGTTTATATGACTATTTAAATTTTGTTAAGGTTTGTAGTTCATAGGGAGTTATAATCCATAAATATTTTGATGTTGTGAGCCACTTTGAACATGGTTTGAGCTTGGAAAGGTAAAGGTAAAGGGACCCCTGACTATTAGGTCCAGTCGTGACCGACTCTGGGGTTGCAGCGCTCATCTCGCTTTATTGGCCGAGGGAGCCGGCATACAGCTTCCGGGTCATGTGGCCAGAATGACTAAGCTGTTTCTGGCGAACCAGAGCAGCACACGGATATGCCGTTTACCTTCCCGCCGGAGCGGTACCTATTTATCTACTTGCACTTTAACGTGCTTTTGAACTGCTAGGTTGGCAGGAGCAGGAACCAGGCAACGGGAGCTCACCCCATCACAGGGATTCGAACCGCCAGCCTTCTGATCGGCAAGTCCTAGGCTCTGTGGTTTAACCCACAGCGCCACCCGTGTCCCTTGAGCTTGGAAAAGCAGCATACAAATAAATGATGGTGATGATTTCCAGTTCAAAATATCTCAGGCATGGAAAGGGCTTGGAAAGATTCGCTTTCTTTAACCTTAGGCTGGATTTGGTCCATGGGCCACAGGCTCTCTACCTCCTCCAGTCAATCTTTCCCAAGGCCTTCCATTGCCTTTCTTACACACCTGCTTCTCCTGCTTCTAAAAGCATTTGCTTAAATCACTGATAAGGACTAGGTACTTGATTGGGTATTTCTTCCAAAGCTCCCATTTAGGCAGAAGACAATGGATAAGCAAACACATTTTTTAAAAAAGCTTTTACCCGCCCCCCCTCTCCTAATATGCTCATCCTTCATTCTGGAAAACCTTTTGCAATCAAATGATTGGCAGCTACAAGGCCACTGCTTTGCATTTTAAAACTAATCTTTGTCTTTTAATTAAGGCCTGTTGTAAGAAATGTCTTTCCTTTTCCACCCCGCCTGAACACCCCACCTTTAATGTAAACATCCTATTTTATTCATCCACGAGGCTCTTCTTATTTGATGTATGGTTTAATTATGCCTCCAGTCACTCACTCTTAGAGAGAGAAAGGGAATGGAAATTAGTTCTAATTATGCTTGCTGCTTATATCATTTTTGTTCTACAAGATGAAACTGCCAGCCTCTATTATTTGGCATTTTCTCTGAAATAAATAGCATGAGATGAATTAGCTAATTGTTATTTTTTCACATGAAAAATACATACCATTTCTTTCGCCCCATAGGACGCACCTAGTTTTTTGGGGGGGGAAATAAAGAAAACAAAATTCCCCCCCCCAGGCACGGGGCTGGCGTGGGGGAAGCCCGAGCTTCCCCCGACCCCAGCCCCCAGAACAGCCTGATATCCGCAAGCCTAGGGAGCTGCGCCGGAGGGTTGCGCGGAGCTGCGCGGAGCCCGGGAGCGCAGGCAGCTCTGCGCAATCCTCGGGAGCCCGGTGCAGCTTCGTGGCGGGCTCCAGAGGGTTGCATGGAGCTGCGCCGAGCCCGGGAGCGCAGGCAGCTCTGCGCAACCTTCAGGAGCCCGCCGTGGCTTTGCGCACCGACCCCTCTCGCTCTCCAGGCTTCAGCGAAAGCCTGTATTCGCCCCATAGGACGCACACACATTTCCCCTTCATTTTTGGAGGGGAAAAAGTGCATCCTATAGGGCGAAAAATACGGTATATACATTTTGAATCGCTTTTCAAATGCGCAGTGCTTTGTCACAATAAATAGCCTTCACGCTTTAGGACGTAGTAGCTTGTGTTAATGGACTTCTGTGCTGTTGGTGCATCTCCCACTTTGCGACTGACTGTGAGTGGCAGACATGTTTCGTATCTTCACAGAAGGTTCAACAAAAGTTTCTACAACCCCCAGAATTCGTCTTTTAAAACCAGCTGCTGGGAAACTCGAAGTGTTCAAATTGTGATTTACTGGTTCTTTATAGGCTTAGCATGTAGTTTATTACTTTTGGGGATCCCACCTGGACAGCTAAGCTTTATATCTGCATGGTAGCAGAGTTGTGAATCGCCCAGAACCAAAAAGCCAGTTCTCCATCTAACGACCAAAATATGTGTTGTTAACTGTTTAGTTCTGCCTTTGAGTCAGGGGTGGGTTTTTGTTTTTTTGTCAGTGTGAGGGGCCTGACAATTGGGGGTAGTGGGCTTTAACCTGTTACGCACACACCCTGGTTGTCACGGTCTGGTTCATGGGTGATCGAAGTCTCGGCAGGGGACGTCAGGACCGGGGGCAAGATGGCGGGGAGGGAGCAGGAACGGGGGTCCAGAAGCCAGGAAGCCAAGAGTCTGAGGGTCCGAGGGTCAGGAAGCAAGGAGTCACAAAGTCAAGGGTCCAAGGATCAAGAAGCAAGGAGTCACGAAGCCGAGGTTCAAGGATCAGGAAGCAAGAGGCCAAACGCAGCAAGGCAGGAAGCGTGTTGCTGTGGCAAAGAGCTGAAGGGAAATCCTGACCTTATATCCCTTCCCAGCTCTAGCCACCAGTGAGTTACCAATCGGCCTCACCTGTGCGGCCACACCTTGCCTCTTCAGAACAAACTTAGGAAGGCCCCTGTTAAGCTGTGGGTGAACATATCAGACAACACAGTGATTCTTCAAACAGCTCTTGTTTATTCACAGGCCAGAACTGAACTGAAGGGTTCAGTCAGCCTGCTTATATAGAGCTCCAGTACAACGTAACTATAACAATTTTCTAAAACTATCCAATCACTGAACGTCACTTTCGATCCCTTATTTGCATAATTATCTACAGTATCCCCCTGCTAGCCCAGGGTGAGAACTTCAGTACATAACAGCCCCAGTCCTGCAAAGTCCTATTGGTCACAGAGCCTGGCTCCTGTACACACACCTGACACTGGTGGTCCAAGGTGGATGTTCCCCCCACCCCACAGGAGGGAAGGTCATTGAATCAGGATCACAGCAAGGGGCAAAGGGTTAACACCACTGCCCTCTAGCCACCTTACTAGAGTCCAAGGCAGGGCTGAAATTGCAGGACTATGGCTCTGAGTAATCAACTTGCTCCTAGAGAGGCTGTAACCAGACTGAGCCTTTTGGGCTGATCAGGTGCTGATTCTCTCCAGGCTGCTACAGCATAGGGGAAAACCAGAACCACAACAGCAGTGGATACCGGGAGCGGGGTACCCTCTCCTCCCCACACCCTGAATCTCCCCCCAATAATATATAACTGGATCTCTTTGAACTGCTCCAAGACTACCTGAAGACTGGAGGAGTGATGCTTTGCAGAGAGTGTTAGAATTGACTGAGGAATGTTCTGATACAAGTACAGTGGTACCTCGCAAGACGAATGCCTCGCAAGACAAAAAACTCGCTAGACGAAAGGGTTTTTTGTTTTTTGAGCTGCTTCGCAAGACAATTTTCCCTATGGGCTTGCTTCGCAAGACGGAAACGTCTTGCAAGTTTGTTTCCTTTGTCGTCACACCGGTAATACAGTTGCGACGTGACTTCGAGGAGCAACTCATAGAACGCGGTGTGGTAGCCTTTTTTGAGGTTTTTAAAGACTTAGGTGATTTTTGAAGCTTTTCCAAAACTTTCCCGACACCGTGCTTCGCAAGACAAAAAAAATCGCAAGACGACAAAACTCGCAGAACGAATTAATTTCGTCTTGCGAGGCATCACTGTATTGGATCTCTGAGTGACCAGGACCATTCTTAGACCATTCTGCCACAGGGGATGCAAACGGGATTTTGCGGTCCCAAATTATATGGTGACCAGTAGACAGACTAACTCCATATGAAAAACAAGAGAGAAATAATGATTCACTGGTGCATGTGAGCACCAATAAATAATTATGCTTTTTTACTTTATGGAACTGTTTTTGCCTCACCCGGTACAAGTCATCTGCTCATAATCTGATAATTACACTTTGCAGCGGTAAATATCACACACATCATTCCTTGGTAGTGGGAGTTTAATTTCCCCATCTCTTTAACTAAAATTGAAAGCTCACAAGGAACTAAAGTGCACTGCAAGGAAAGAACTAGGTATCACTCAGGAGTGAACTTTGCAATTCTCCGCTCTTCAGAGCCATTTGGCAAAATACGGTCTGAGTCATCTACAACTAGAATTGCTTTTTTTCCGTGGTGGGGGAAGTGGGGGACAAATTTATAAGCTGTGAATTAACTTTTCTAACTGAATGTTATGGACGCTGTCCTCACCTCAGGCTGCAGTGTGATTACTGGGCCTGATTTTTTAAATAAAAAAACCAACAGTGAAAATTATAAAAATAGCATCTATAAGGATGAGCCAACTTATTAGATTCCCCTTGGAGGGAAAATAAGTTTTCTATCTCCAATCCAGGATTTTGCATCTTCATTTCCTTGAGTTGCCTCAGGTTTTGTTGGCATGGATCAATTGCTACATGACTTTTGTTATGTTAATTACCGTTAATCATGTGTGTGGTAATGTAGAGCTGCCTTGCACTCCCCCAGTGCTGTCTTCTTATTTATTTATTGCATTTATATCACACCTTTTGATCCAAGGAGCTCAAGGTGGTATACATGCCCCCCCCATTTAATCCTCACAACAACCCTGTGAAGTAGGTTAACCTGAGAGGCAGTGACTGGCCCAAGGTCACCCAATGGGGCCAAGTTGGTATTTGAGCCCTGGTCTCCCTGGTGGTGCTGTGGGTTAAACCACAGAGCCTAGGACTTGCTGATCAGAAGGTCAGTGGTTTGAATCCCTGCAACGGGGTGAGTTCCCGTTGCTCGGTCCCAGCTCCTGCCCACCTAGCAGTTCGAAAGCACATCAAAATGCAAGTAGATAAATCGGTACCATTCTGGTGGGAGGGTAAATGGCGTTTCCGTGTGCTGCTCTGGTTCGCCAGATGCGACTTAGTCATGCTCGCCACATGATTCGGAAGCTGTACGCCGGCTCCCTCGGCCAATAAAGGGAGATGAGCGCCGCAACCCTAGAGACTGGACCTAATGGTCAGGGGTCCCTTTACCTTTATCTTTACTCCCTGGTCCTAATCATTGTACCATACTGGCTCTCTTACTGGTAACAACTCTCTAGGGTCTCAGACAAAAGTCTTTCCTCTCACCTACAGACCTTTTAACTGTACCTCGAGTTACAGTCACTCCCAGTTGATATGCACCTAGTACCACAACCATGTCTTCCACCATGCTTTTCTACCTAAAGCTCTTGCTAGAACCACATCTCCCATAGTCCTCTGCACCATGGCACACTGTTAACCAGTGTTCTCCCAGCATGCCTTTCGACTGCTCCTGCTACCACCTATTTGTTGAAAAGGAAAGAGAGTGACGAGCGAGTATTTGAAGGGGTTGATATTTGGGGGTTTGGGGATGTGGGAGGGGAGCTGCAAATCCTTCTCTGGCTCAGACTGAAATCCAGACCAGAAGAGAACTTTGGGGGCTCATAAAACTTACCTCTTGTTTTGAGGCAGGCTTTATGAGTCTTCAGTGTCCATATCTGAGTCTGGCTTGGCAGAATTTTGCAGCATCTCTAGCTCAGATATTGGCTAAGTGCTCATTCCTTTTTGCAATTAGAAAAGAGAGAGAAAATGAACACTTAGGACAGTTTCAGGTCTCAAAACTCCTAAAGGTCACCCTTTTGAATATATTGGTAAAGTTTCTAAATCCTTCAGTTACAGCACAAAACCCATGAGGATGTCTGGCCCAGTCATTCTGTCCAATTGATTTTAGTTAGCTTTCTAAAGTGCATGTTTTCTCCAGCTCATGTTTCAATTTGTTGTTCACCTCATGGCCCTCTTGACACCATATAAACTCCGCACAAACACTGTCATCATTAAATGTAATCTCTTTCTCCATTATTCAAGGCCCTATTTATCTTGCAGCCCCAGAGAGACCAGCCAGGATGAATTAATGCTAACAGCTCTAAATCTGCAGATAATCTCTAGGGTTATTTTACCATACACAGTTCCTAGAAAGGTCCTTGTCAACCACTTGCTGCTCAGCTCCAGGTCTGGAAATCATCACAATTCAGAGCACGTTCTTCGAAACATTAATCATTGTTTGTTTTTAATAAACCTAGTCACAAAATTGGTTTTGATTCTTATGCATTGCTAGAAATTTCAGCGAATGAACCAGGAAAAACTGACTGTGTGCAAAGGTATTTGATTCCATAACTCCTTCATAGCAACTCCCCTGTGAGGAAAAGGTGGGAGGAGTTTTTAGTTTAGAGGAAAGGCAAGTAAGATGTGACATGATATAAATTTGTAAAATTATGCATTGTGTGGAGAAAGTGGATCGAGAAACCAACCCCCCCAACCAACACTAGAACCAGTGAAGCTGAAAGTTGGAAGATTCAGGACAGGTAAAATAAATTACTTCTCAACGCAGCACATAGTTAAACCATGAAACTTGCACTAATTTGGTTAGTTACTCTGTGCAGGCTCCAAGGCCTCATCAAGAATAAAGTTTTTCATATCATTAACTCAGTTTGAAGTGAGTTCCTACATGAATGGCGGAAGACAAAACAGGGCCAGAGTCAAAAATAGACAGGTAGCAGCACGCTACAAGGTCACCTCTTTCCAGTCTCTTCTTTTGCGTCTTCCTTCCACTCAATCTCTTTTCCTTCCTTCCTTCCTATATAAAATGAAGTGCTGGTACTCATATCTTGATAAATGTGGTGTGGGTGCCAACACAAAATGGGTGCCACAAGCAGCAAAAAGAGGTGCTAGCACCCAAGGCATTTTGGCACCAGAGGTGAACCACAAAATGACGCCCCTGCACCATAGGAAAACGGGTGAGGAAAGATTTGCTTTGGGAACAATGTGGGGAAGGGGTTGGCCAAATCAACCTTACTGAATGATTGAAGTGTGAATCAAAGGTAGTGGGTGGGGAGGGGCTCACAGAACCATGCCGGGCAGGTGCAGAGCCCAGGAGACCACAGAGGTCAGCCCTCCCCATTTCCTCCTAGGGGTGGGAGCAAGGCCATCTTAAGCATATGTGGCGCCGGGGTGCAAAGATCCGACCAGCGCCCCTAGATTGCCCAGAGTTGTCAACCTTTTTTAGGGAGAGAACCCCCAAAGTTGTTGACCTTTTTTTAAGGGAACAGTTTACCTTTAGAACAGTTGGGGGATGCAACAAATGTGGGTGCATATTATGTTTGCTGACTGGGAACAGTTATGGACCACAGGTATGAAGTTTACGGCATGTAATGCCTTAAGAGAGAATATTATGAAAATGATATACAGGTGGTACATGACCCCAGTCAAGCTTGCAAAAATCTATCATTTGCCTGACAATAAATGTTGGAAATGTAAAGAAACTGAAGGTACATTCTTTCACCTTTGGTGGACGTGCCCAAGGATTAAGGCTTTCTGGGAGATGATTTATAATGAAATAAAAAAGGTATTTAAATATACCTTTCTGAAGAAACCAGAGGCCTTTCTTCTGGGCATTGTCAGCCAATTGGTGCCAAAGAAGGACAGAACCTTTTTTATGTATGCTACAACAGCAGCAAGAATACTCATAGCAAGGTATTGGAAGACACAAGATCTACCCACTCTGGAAGAATGGCAGATGAAGGTGATTGACTACATGGAACTGGCGGAAATGACTGGCAGAATCCGAGACCAGGGAGAAGAGTCGGTGAAAGAAGACTGGAAGAAATTTAAAGACTATTTACAGAAATATTGTAAAATTAAGGAATCTTAGAAGGATGTTGGATAGAAACTAAGAGGTTTTTAGCTGTAATGCTTTAAGAGATATGAAAAAGGTTTACAATTGGGCAAAAGTCTAATGGTAAGGATTTGCTGAACTAACAAACTGAACTGGAATACAAAAAAGGGAGGTATGAGGAGGTCCGGGGAAATAAGTCTAGGGAAGATAGGTTTGGAAAATTAATGTCTTTTTAACTGTTTTATTTTGTATGTTTCTTTTCTATCCTTTATTTTTTTGTTATACTTTAAAAAACTTTACTCTTTTTTCTGTATTTTGTATTTCTTGTATTTGTTGAAACTTTAATAAATATCATTTAAAAAAACAAAAACAAATGTGGGTGCAGGTTCCATGCTGGGGGGGGGCAAATGTTGGATGGCACAGTCGCCGTGCTGTCCGCCTGCTACCGGCTGTCTGTGCGTGGTCGATCCTGTCTGGAGATGTTTCCTCTGCTGCTGCTGCTTGCATTCCCCGTCGTTCTGCGCTGGCACCCCACGTTGGGCAGCGCTGAGAGCGTGCGCCAACAGCGGAAAAGCCAGCAAAGGAACCCGCAGCTCGGAGCATGCAACAGGATGTGCCGCGCAGCACCCACAACGTTACATGGTGCTCTGGGTGCAGTGCTGAAACAGTTAGCCCCATGCAGCTGGGGCAAGAGCTGACAGCCGAGCGGAGCGGAGCCCATTGGAGCACCACAGGCTCTTCTGCTGCAGGCGGCTCGGCGCAAGTCCAGGGGCAAACGCTGGAGTCCAGGGAAGAGCCGCCCATAGCAGAAGAGCCTGTGGCGCTCCAGAGGACTCCGCTCCACTCGGTGCTCTTCCCCGGACTCCAACGCTCGGCCCCAGACTCTGAGCCTGGCGCCCCTGAGAGCCCGGCGCCCGGGTGCCGTGCACCCCTAGCGCCAATGGTTAAGATGGCCCTGGGTGGAAGGAGACCCTGTTCGCCAAAAGGCTGCTGTAGAGGCTGCATGGGGGGGTGCTTAGGAGGCATCAGATCCAGCCTCCACGGAGCATGCCGCAGCCATTGCTGCTACAGCAGCAGCAGCAGGCAACAATTCCTTGGAGGCTGGATCTACTGCCACTGCGGATCCTGCCGCCCAAGGCAGTTGCAGTTGCCTTCCCTTGCCACGTGGGTGGGCCGGCCCTGGATGATACTCTGTACCAGTGAGTACTGTCACAAAAAAAGCCCTTGCACAAATCTATGTATTTATTAGAGAACAATTATTTTCATGTCAAAGAGGACACACACACCACCACTGTCTTAAGCAGGTATCAGAGCATAACCCCCAATTTGAAAGGCCTTCCTTTTATTAGGTACTCCAACAACCTACTAAGTACTGTGAAGGATCAAAATTCTATGCTCACGCCACATCTCCCTTTCTTTATAACCCAAACAGATGTCTAACATTACAGCTCCCATTAAGTGCAAGTTTTCAAAACGACACTTAACTGCATCGCTGTCTCCATTAACCATTTGGGTGGAAAATGTCAGAAGAGCCACTCTGGCACATTTTTTCTAGCACTAAAAAAAAAAGCATTATCCCCTTTTTGTGTTATTCTTGGACCTCTTTGCTAATAAAACTCCTTCCCAATCTTGGTGGAGTCCTTGAGAAGGCAGAGATGGTCTGTTTCTAATTGTTTTCTTATTGTTGGCTTTCAACATCACATCTTTTCTGCTGATGTCTGCCTCAAAATCCCTTCCGAGGGAATATAGTGTTTCTTCCATGAGATGGTGATCAGACTTCATGGCAGGATGTTTATCTGAAGGGGGAAAATGTTTTGATCTGTAGCTGTCATCTTAGGTTGGATCTTGCGTGCGTTAATTTGGATACAGTTTGGTTCAATGGGTTATTTTACACGGTTTTTATCTTGTGTTATTATAATAAGGAGACATTTTACTAATGGCCATTGTTTTTCCACCTTTTCAATTAGATTCAAGTCTTAAGTGTTATGTGTTCAGCAATGCATATTACTTGAACAATTCACATTTTAACATGGTGTAAGGAATTCCTAATTCACTGTTGTGACATTTGCTGTTTTCCGTTCATACGATATGTCCCAATGGCACTGAATGTGTAGTTTTTGCATATGAAGAAAATTGGCAGGATATTTTCTAATGAAAAAAGGCAATCCCTGCATAGCTGGTACAGCCATGGTCTAGGAGTGCTCCTGGTTCCATCTCTGTCACAAGAGGACCATGTGATCTCAATGTCTACGAGTGTCTTTTACCAACTTTGGCTGGTAATACAGCTTCTGCCATTCTGGACCTGGTTACTTCCAGGTTGGACTACTGCAATTTAGTCTACATGGGGCTGCCCCATAGGTTGGCCTAGAAGCTGCAGTACAAAATGCCCTGGCTTCCACTGTTCACTGGGGCAGACTATCACCATCATGTAACGCGGCTGCTGAAATAATGGAACCAGCTGCCAATTAGCTACGAGACTAAGTTCAAGGTATTGGTACCTGTAATTACTTTGTGTGGTCAGAGTAATATTGAAGTACTTACATTTTTGATTGAACGATTCCAGACTATATGCTGCAAATATGTCATTCAGATCTGATATTTTTGGTGTGCATGCCTGGCATGTTAACTTCTACACAATCCTGTTTTCTCAGCATGGATATTAATTGCTGTTCTGCCACTTGTTATCCATACCAGTGGACTACGTTTGGCCGCATGTATCCTTCCTGAGAGATTTTGTTATTGTTGTTGTTCCTCCCCAAGTCACTCCTCTCCTGCCCTTTTCTGTTTTAGGCATGGGCTCATCATTATTATACAGCTCCCGGTGAATTCTGAAGACGCACCTCTTTACTGTGGCTTTTGACACTTGGGGTGTATAATTTTAGGACCCACCTTATTTTGTGATTGCAAGATGTTTTTAAAAGTTTTTAATATTGTGTTTTAATGCTATAATCTGCCCCTGGTACCTTAGAATGAACGACGGGTAATTAATAAAAATAATGTCCTATACAGCTTAGGACCAGGATGCCTATATATTGTCTCACACATTATAAACCCAACAAAGCAATGCACTCTGCATTGCTGGAGATACCATCTCGTCAGGAGCTCCTTTCTGTATGATATAGTAATAATAATAATTTTATTATTTATACCCCCCCCCCATCTGGCTGGGTTTCCCCAGCCACTCTGGGCGGCCCCCAACAGAACACTAAAAACAGAATAAAACTTCAGACATTAAAAACTTCCATAAACAGGGCTGCCTTCAGATGTCTTCTAAAAGTCAGATAGTTGTTTATTTCCTTGACAACTGATGGGAGGGTGTTCCACAAGGCGGGTGCCACTACCAAGAAGGCATTCTGTGTGATTCCCTGTTACTTCACTTCTCGCAGTGAGGGAACCGGCAGAATGCCCTTGGCACTGTACCTCAGTGTCCGGGCTGAATGATGGGGGTGGAGATGCTCCTTCAGGTATACTGGGCCAAGGCCATTTAGGGCTTTAAAGGTCAGCACCTACCCAGCGGCGGAGCATATGCCAGCGCTGCCCAGGGTGGGCTGGCTCACAAGGGGTGCGGGGTACAGAGGGTGCCCTCCCAAGCACGGAATAGCCGCTTGGGTGCATGGAGCGGCGTGCTCTTCAGCCGGGATGGAGCAAGCTGCCCACGGGGGCAGAGCGAGCCATCAATGGTGGACATTTGGCGCGCCGACCACCTGCGACTGCCAAATGTCACCCCCCCCAGCAAAGATACCCGAGGCAGTCCACCCCCACCACACACCCCTTCCTCTACCCCCGTACCTACCCTTCATATCTTTGTTCCATTACATGTCAGGAAAGCGCCTTCTCTGTTGTCATTTCAGCTTCCTTTTTCAGCCAACCTTTTAAGTGGATAGGTTGTTTTTTTAACCACCGTTTGTATCTGTACAGTGGTACCTCGGGTTACATACGCTTCAGGTTACAGCCTCCGCTAACCCAGAAATATTACCTCATGTTAAGAACTTTGCTTCAGGATGAGAACAGAAATCGTGCTCCGGCAGCGCGGCAGCAGCAGGAGGCCCCAGGTTGCTTCAGGTTAAGAACAGTTTCAGGTTAAGAACGGACCTCCAGAACGAATTAAGTACTTAACCTGAGGTACCACTGTATTTGATTTGAAATAGTTTGTATTATGGATTTTTAGAATTGTCTTTATTAAATTGTTTCATATATGTCTGATCTTTTACTGTAAAATCACTTGGAGATGTCTTATAGGAAGTGATTCATAAATGGAAAAATGCTACCAAGAAGAAAATAGGGGCGCCGGGGGACGAGACAGAAATGTAGTTTTTCACCTTCCCTTTAGCCATGAATCAGGCTTGCCAGAATGGATCACTTCTATTGGTAGCTCTGCCTGTGGTAATGTCCAATATGCAATTCCTTAGAAGGAAGTTTTAAAAAATGAACATCCATATCCAATGTCATCAGCCGAGTTCTGCAATGTGCATAGCTTGAGAGATTTTTTTCTTCAGACATCTGTAAACAATACATTAATACTCTAAGGCACAAGAGTGGAACTATATTAATCCTAAATATTCAGGAAAACAAAATGAGAGGTTCAAAATCAGATCTAGGCATATGAATTAACTGTATGAAGCACAAAGCACTCTAACCACTGTGTTCCTATCATCTGCCCACTAGGCATAGCTGTCAATTTACAGATTTGAAAATAAGGGACCAGCAGCCTCGAAAATAAGGGATCAGCAGCCAAAATAAGGGATCAACAATTACTTTGATAAAATACATATTTTGTTGTGTGTAAATGGCTTTAGATACTTATTAGGTTCATAAATTACCATATAGCATATATTCAACACACAAAAACGGCAACAATTTGTTGTTGACAAAGGACAGCTGGACATAGAAAGGGCCCCATTACCTCCAGTAGCTTATTTAAGGAACATCATCAATAGGGGACAGCAGCGGGACATGGCGCTGGGATAAGGGACTGTCCCGCCAAATAAGGGATGCTTGACAGCTATGCCACTAGGATCTAAATGTCTTATTTGTGTTATCTGCCCCTTTCACCACTACA